TGGTCTACATGTATGTACTGTGGCAGTACTGTATTGTTTTTATTGCTATGGCTCTGTAATATATCTCAAGATCTGGAATGATAACCCTTCCAACATTGTTCTTTTTGCTCCAGATTTATTTGTTTGTTTGGTTTGGTTTTTGTTTGTTTGGGGTTTTTTTGTTTCTTTTTTGTTGTTGTTGTTGTTTTTAGCTATTCAGGGTCTTTTGTGGTTCCATATGAATTTTAGGATTGTTTTTCTATTCCAGTAGAGAATGAGATGGGGATTTTTATTGGGATTGCACTGAATCTGTAAACGGCTTTTAACAAAATGGCTATTTTAACAAAATTAATTTTACCAATCCATGAGCATGGAATGTCCTTCCATTTTCTAATGTCTTTATCTCTTTCTTCAGATATTTAAAGTTTTCATTGTAAAGGTCCTTCACTCCTTCTTTAGGTTTGTTTCTAGATATTTTATTTTCTTTGAGGCTATTATGAATGGGAATGTGTCTATGATCTCTTTCTCTATGTGTTTGTTGGTGGTGTATAAAGAAGCTGTTGAATTGTACAAGTTGATTCTGTATCCTGCCACACTGCTGAATTTTTTATTGTCTCTAGAAGTTTTCTGGTAGAATTTTGGGAATCTCTTGTCAACTGTAACTAGGGATAATTTGACTTCTTCTTTTCCTATTTGTATCCTTTTAATTTCCTTCTTTTGCCTTATTGCTCCATCTAATGCTTTAAGCACAATATTGGAAAAGAGTGAGGGCAATTCACAGGTCTGTCTCATTCCTGACTTCAATGGAATTTCTTCAAGTTTTTCTCCATTTAGGATGATGTTGGCTGTGGGTTTCACATCCATGCCTTTTATCACACTGATTGAAGGATATTTCTCCTAGTCCTAATCTTTCTGTGAAGGCATGTTGGATTTTGTCAAAGACTTTTTCTACATCAATTGAGATGATGGTGTGATTTTTGTCTTTAATTCCTTTCATATGGTTTGTTACATTTATTTACTTGTAAATGTTAAGTCATTTCTGCATCTTGGGAATAAAGTCAACTTGATCATGGTGGGTAATCTTTTTAACATGTCTGTATTCAATTTACAAATATTTTATAGAGCATTTTTTAATCTGTGTTCATCGGGTATACTGGCCTGTAGTTGATTTTTTTTTATTGTTGTCATTGTGATACTGGCTTCACAGAAGGAGTTTGAGAATATGCCTTCTGTTTTTATGGGAGGGGGTGTTTTTTTAATAGTTTAAAAGAATTGGCTATAGATCTTCTTTGAACATCTGGTAAAATTATCCTGTGAATCCATCCGGGCCTTTAATTAGAAGGCTTTTAATTGCTATTTTATTCTACTCATTTGTTATGGGTCTGCTTAGGTTGTTGACCACTTCTCGATGTGATTTTGGTGGGTTGACTGAATATAGAAAGTCAACCATTTCTTTTAGGTTTTCCAGCTTAATGGAGTCCAAATTTTAATTATAATTCACTTATAATATTCTGAATTTCTTTTGTGTCTGTTGTAATATTTCCCTGTTCATTTCTGGTTCTATTAATTTGTGTCCTCTCTCTTTCTTCTGGTTAGTTGGGTCAGTGATCTGTCAATCTTGTCTTCTCAACTATTAGATTTATGGATTCTTTGTATTGTTTCTTTGTTTCTGCTTCATCGATTTCAGCTCTAATTTGTATTGTTTCTTGCTGTCAAGTGGGTTTGGATTTGCTTTGTTCTTGTTTTTCAGATTTTTTTAGTTCATCATTGTTTATTTGTACTCTTCTGGCTTTTTAGCAAAGGCATTTAGAGCTATAAATTTCCCTCATAGAACTGCTTTCGATGTATCCCAGAAGTTTTGTTCTGTTCTTTTCATTTCCATTTAGTTCCAGGAAATTTTTTATTTTTCTTGATTTGTTCTTTGACACATCCATTCATTATTCAGTAATGAGTTGTTTAATCTCCATGAATTTGTGTATTTATTAGAGATTTGTTTGTTGTCAATTTTAAGTTTTATGGCTTTGGGATCAGATAGGATACATGAAATTATTTCAATCTTTCTGTACTTGTGAAGATTTGTTTTGTGATCCAGAACATTGTCTATTTTAGAGAAGATTCCATGTGCTGCTGAATGTGTACTCTTTGGTTTGGGGGAATAATGTTCTGTGAATATCTGTGAAGTCCATTTAATGTATTATGTCATTCAATTATAATGTTTATGTTTTTTCTTAATTTTTTTGTCCAGATGAGCTGTCTGTTGGATAAAGTTGGGAATTAAAATCACCAGTTACGCCGGGCGGTGGTGGCGCACGCCTTTAATCCCAGCACTCGGGAGGCAGAGCCAGGTGGATCTCTGCGAGTTCGAGGCCAGCCTGGGCTACCAAGTGAGTCTCAGGAAAAGCGCAAAGCTACAGAGAAACCCTGCCTCGAAAAACCAAAAAAAAAAAAAATCACCAGTTACTAACAGGATGATATTATCTGTGCCTTTACATACAGTAGTACATATTTTATGAACCTGGGTGTACCAGAGTTTGGTGAACATATGTTTAGGATAGTAATGCCAGCTTGGGTAATGTTCCCTTGAATAGAATGAAGTGTCCTTCTTTATCTAATCTGAGAAGTTTTAATTTGAAGTATATTTTGTCAGATACTAGGATAGTGATGCCTGCTTGCTGGTCCCATTTGATGGAGTACTTTTGTTCATTCTTTTGCTCTAATGTCATACTTATTATTAAAATTAAAATGTGTTTTTATAGACAAAAGATAGATGGATTTTGTTTCTTGATCCATTCAGCCAGACTGTCTTTTGATTGGAGAATCAAGATCATTAATATTTAAAGTTATTATTGAAATGTCTGTGTGCTGATTGCAGTCATTGTGTTGCCATTTCTAGTGATGTTGTGTTCCCAATGGTACTTCGTTTTAGTAATTATGTCTTCATATTTCTTTTTACAGCCTCTTAACTATGTCTATTCCTTTCCTCAGCCTGAAATATTGCTCCCTATACTTTCTTTAAGTTTAGATCATTGGATATAATTTTTAGGGTGCTTAGATCATGGAAAGTTTTATTTTTTCTTCAATTATGGCAGGTAGTTTTGCTTGATATATTAGTCTAGTTTGGCCATTATGGTCTGATTCCATTTAGGACTTGGAATACATTGCTCCAGGCTCTTCTGGCTTTTGAAATTTCCACTGAGACATAAGCTGTTATTCTGATGGGTTTTACTTTATATGTGAATTGTGCTTTTTCTCTTGCAGCTTTCAACACATTGCCTTTGTTCTAAATATGTAGTTTTAACTATGATATGCTATGGGAATTTTCTTTTCTGATCTTGTCTATTTGGTATTCATTGTGCTTCTTGAATTTGTATGAGTATGTATTTCCTTAGTTTTTGAAAGTTTTCTTCTATGACCTTGTTGAAAACCTGACCTATGCCATTGACCTGGGATTCTTCTTCATCTATGCCTGTAATTTGAAGGTTTGGTCTTTTAATGGTGTCCCACATTTCCTATATGTTCCTTTCATGTGGGTTTTTTTTAATTTTTCATATTCTTTGCTTATTATATCCAGATCCTCTACTTCAAGTTTTGATATTCTGCCTTCTGATTGATTGATTCTATTTGTAAGTCTTTCACTTTAGTTTTCTGGTTATGAGGTTTTTCAATTCCATCTTCACTCTTCTTCAATATTTTTACCGCTTCATTGAATTCCATTTTCAAATTCTGGATTGCCTTTGTCATTTCCATCAGCCTATGTTTGTGTTTTCCTGGGTATCACTCAAGTGTTTATTCTCTTTATATTCTTTCTCTTTAAGTTCATTGGGCTACTTCTTTATGTATTCTTTAAATTCAGTGATTTGATGATGTTTATATTTGTTTGTTTTTTTAAAAAAAATCTGTGTCCTGGGGTTCATCTAGTTGATTCTCATTGGCAAAATTTTCTACAGGAGTGGGGAGGGGGGAAACTGCCTTCATCTTTCATACTGTTTGTATTTTTGTGAGAAGATTTGGGCATGTGGATTTCTTTTACTGGTTCTTTGTCCTATATGGACAAAGCAGATTGGGGAAGAACAGAGGATGTGCAGGTCAGGTTGGGCCTAAGGGATAAATAGGCTTTGGTGGAATGAAGTCCAGTGGACACAGGAAACTGAGTTGTATACAGTATGTGTATCCAGGTACAAGCCTGGATTTTAAAAAGTTGATCTGGAGGTTGAGGAGGGTGTGTGGAGGGGAGAATCATTAGATTCACATAACAAAACCCTGGAGAAGGATGTGCAACATCTGGTTGGGTAGAGAGTTTGGAATGTGGAGTAAGGGGTTCTGTAGGTCAGAGGCAGGCAGAGTTGGGTCTGGTAAAAGCCTAGAGGTCAGTTGTGGCGCTGGAAGTGGTGGCCAGAATAGACCAGGGCACAGAATATGAGACCCAGGTTATACTGAGGATGGGGAGTGCATGGAGAGAAAGAATAGACGAACTCAGCCTACTAGACCCTGCAGAAGAATGTGCAGGATCTGGCTGGACAGAGGTTGCATCCCAAGCCCAGCTTTTTACATGGGTGCTAGATATTTGAACTCAGGTCCTTATAGTCTTTCCAACGAACCAACCTACTAACCAAGGGCTCTTTTTTGCTCCACCCCCTCCTCTAGTTTTCAAGCTCTGACCTCAGAGTCTATAACTTCTCCCTAAAACCTACCCTTTGTGATTCATAATATCAGTATTTGAATTCATGAGACAAGAATCCAAAAGTATGTCTCAGGGTGGCTTTGATGACTATCAAGTTTTCCAGGACCCTAACATCCCCTCCCCAGCTAATCCCATCTGACTCGAGAGAAGTTCTGTTTTTGAATTTTGTCAAACTCAAAAATACCCCATTTCCCCATATCGTAACGTTTCTAATAACTCTTTTAATCAAAAGGACAGTCTGAACTACTGTCCCTCTTGAACCCTGAATCTGAGACCTTACAAGGATGGCTTAGATTATGTGTTAGTCAGGGAAGGGTTCTCTAAGAAACAGAATTTATGAAAAAATGTATGTGGGATTTATTAAAATGGCTTACAGGTTGTAGTCCAGCTAGCCCAACAATAGTTGTCTACCAGAAGGTCCAAGAAACCAGCAGTTGTTCAGTCCATGAAGTTTGATGTCTCAGCTAATCTTCAGCATACACTGAATCCCAAAGAAGTACACTCTATGGCAGCGAAGGAATGGACTTGCTAACTAGAGCAAGAGCAAGCAGGCAAAGAGCAAGCTTCCTTCTACCATGTCCTTTACATAGGCTTCAAGCAGAAGGTGTGGCCCTGATCAAAGGTGGATCTTCCCACCTCAAAAGAGCTGTATTAAGGGTACATCTTCCCACCTCAAAAGATCCAAATTAAAAATGGGTCTTCCTGCCTGGCATGGTGGCACACATCTTTAATCCCAGCACTCAGGAGGCAGAAGCAGGTGGAACTCTGTGAGTTTGAGGCCAGTACCAGGACAGCTAGAGCTGTTACACAGAAAAATCCTGTCTCAAAACCAAAAATAAAAAATAAAAATAACAACAAAAAAATGAAGTAGGTCTTCCTACTTCAAATGATTAATAAAAAAAATCCTTGACAGGTGTACCCAGTTGCTTGGGTTTCAGTTAATTCCAGATGTAGTCAAGTTGACAGCCAAAAATACCCATCACAGGTTATATAATGACATCCTGCCTTTAAAACAAATGTTCTTCACTGTGATGGTTAATGGTACAGGATGAGGAAGTTGTTCTATTTTCACTGCTATAAGTCTCCCATTGTGATGAGGAGCAGCTGGATTCATGGGCACTGCATCCTTGTCCATGGGGTGTGTCCTTTCACTGGGACAGCAGTTGTCTTGTTGCTCTTTGTCCTTCATCATCACCCTGAAGGAAAGTCATGTCTTTTACAGTTATTTTCAGAGAGTTTTCAATGAGAAATTTTACAAGAGAAATCTTTTTGGAGATATTTTTTGCTAATCCTGAGTTGCAGAAACTAGGCAGACATAGGATGCTCGAGGCTATGCAAACAGATAAGCTGTCATCTGATTAACTGAAGAATTTCTCTCAATAATGTGTACACTCTGAAAAGTAGTGAATGGCATTTGGTTGGGGAAGCTACTCTAAAAGACTCTGCACTGAAGCTACTTAATTTCTCAAAATAAACATTATTCCAGTTTAATATATTTTCCCTCCCCTCATTCCTGGTGGACTCAACCATTTCCTGTGAGTTATTTAGAAGCCAAACACTGTGCTCTGCACATGCTATTGCTCAGGATGGCCTTAGAGGAAAGGAAGATGAAAGAGAGAAAGGAAAGAGAAAAAAGCAGAAGATATCTTATTATTGTACAGATATTAACATTATTATTATTATTATATGATTTTGTTCAAACTTATATATCAGGACATGTGTGTGTATCTGTGTATGTGTGGGCTAATGGTATGAACATCTGAATATTTTAACAAAAATTTAAATGATTTAAATTAAAAAACAAATGTTCTTGAATTTACACATTTGTGACTATTCTAATTTTCCTTTTGTTATTTCTAATTTCATTCCATTATGATCAAAGAAAAAAAACCTTTTATTACTTTAGTCTTTTAAGATTTATTGATATTACCTGATGCTTAGCATATGGAAAATGTTCATGTGCCCTATAAAATAATGTGTATCTTGTTCTAGGGTGGAGTGTTGTATATACATTCAGTTTTACTGGATTATGCTGTTGTTTCCGTCCTCTGGAGTTTAAGTAATCTCGAGAATTTAGACTTGCCTTGTAAGTCTTTTCTTCTGAGGCTATCACCACAATTGTCCTCTATACTTTATTCATGATAAGTATGAGATTTCATAGCCTATGCATCCAATTTCTTCCAGCCTCTATTACACAACTCCAAGGTCATCTCTAAAATTTGGCATTTTTGTTATAACAACTGACTCCCCATTTATCTAATATCAATTTTGTCTTCATCCCTTGAAGGTTTCCATAACAGAATACCTTAATCTAGCTTGGAGATTAAGAAATCCAAGATCAAAAAAAAAAAAAAAGAAGTCCAAGATCAGAGTGCCAGCATCAGGGTACAAAGAAGCAAATGAAGTTAACCTAGCTCTTTTATAACAGCATTAATCTCATCCTTGAAAGTGTGACATTTTGCCAGGCATAATGGCACACGCCTTTAATTCCACTGCTCAGGAGGTAGAAAAAAGTAGGTCTCTGAATTCAAATCCAGGTTGATCTACATAACTAGTTCCAAACCAGCCATCTTAATATTGTACAATGGCAAGTGAGTTTAAATGTGAGTTTAGGGGAGGACAAACACTCAAACCATGGCAAATGGGTTAACTAAAAACACAACAAAAACATAAAGAAGGCAAGAACCTAAAGGAGACACACCAGGGGATACAAAATGAAATGAGATTGAAGGCAGATTAAGAGAGTAAATTATTAGTATACTAAATTCATATTCAGAGAAAAAGAAATAAATAGGGCCCTTGCTGTCCTGGACATATGGTAGTATAATTCAATAGGGCAAAAATGATAAGAGAAAAGGAAATTTCAATAAGTATGAAATTAAAGTGTGAAATCTTATCTCACTGACTGCTTTGGAGGCAATGAGGGAGAGGTTTCCATAAAATTGATAAATTACTGGATACAGGGAAGTATTTGTATCTACATACATAGGTGTGAATGTTATTAATAAATAGTTCTTCATGTGATTCAAAGATACTAATAAAAGAAGGATAAAGAATAAAATTAACTAGCACAAAACAAATTAGTAGTGTTTCTAAATGCCAGGAAAGAAATTTAATATTGTAAAATGACCAACAAAGATGTGGCAGAGCCAGGCCAGGTGATTCACACTGGTAATCCCAGAAGTAAGGAAGCTAAGGAAGGAAAATCATGAGTTAGAGTCCAGCCTAGGCTAAATAGCAAGTTCCAGGCCAGCATGAGCTGCATAGTAAGATCCTGTCTGAAGAGGAAGGGAAAAGTGACAGAAATAAGAATGCAACCAGTCAACAGGGCTTTCACAAAAATTAATAAAGAAAACATAATCAACTGATATCACTTGATTTTAAAAGCATCAAGCAAACTCAAGTATGTTATCAAATACCATCCTTCAGGTTAATTCCCTCAAAGCATTTGATTCTGTGCAAGGGGAAGCTTGAAAATCTGGCAAAGTGCCATGTAACACAAATCTTAAAAGGTCTTATTAATAAAAAACCTGGAGCCAGGTACTGGGGTAAATTCTGAAAGATCAGAGAGACAGAACAAACCACAACCAACCTCACCTTGCCAACTCCTCAGCTAATCTTGTTTCCTCAGACTGAAAGCCTCTGAGTCTTTACCCCAATGGATCTCAGCTGAACTGCTGCTAAAAAAGCTTCTAGTTCCTGGTCCTTATGCCTTATATACCTTTCTGCTTCCTGCCATTACTTCCTGGGATTAAAGGCGTGTGTCCTTCCCAAGCAATGACATGAGATCTCAAGTGCTGGGATTAAAGGTGTGTGCCACCATGCCTGGCTCTGTTCCCAGTGTGGCCTTGAACTCACAGAGATCCAGACGACTCCCGAGTTAAAGGCGTGTGTGCCACCACTGTCTGGCCTCTATGTCTAATCTAGTGGCTGACTCTGTCCTCTGATCCCCAAATAAGTTTTATTTATTAGAGCACAAATAAAATATCACCACAGTGCCAGGTGGTGGTGGCACATATGTGGTGGTATTGTGTTCCCCAAAATATTGTGCACCCTAATAAACTTATCTGGGGTCAGAGACAGAACAGCCATAATATTAAACATGAGGATAGGCAGTGGTAGCACATGCTTTTAATCCTAGCATTCTAGAGGCAGAAATTCATCTGTTCAAGAATACAGCCAAGCATGGTGACTCACACCTTTAATCCTAAGGATTGATGGTAGAAAGCAGAAAGGTATATAAGGGGTGAGGACCAGAAACTAGAAGTGTTTGGCTAGTTAAGCATTCAGGCTTTCGAGCAGCAGTTCAGCTGAGATCCATTTGGATATGAGGACTTAGAGGTTTCCAGTCTGAGGAAACAGGATCAGCTGAGGAACTGGCGAGGTGAGGTGGCTGTGGCTTGTTCTGGTTCTCTGATCTTCCAGCATTCACCCCAATACCTGGCTCCAGGTTTGATTTTATTAATAAGACCATTTAAGATTCCTGCTACACACATACCATTAATCTCAGCACTCAGGATGCAGAGGCAGGTGGATCTCTGGAGTTCAAGGCCAGCCTGGTCTACAGAGTGAGTTCCAGAACAGTCAGGGCTGCACAGAAGAACCCTGTCTCAAAAAAAAAAAAGAAAAAAAGAAAAAGAAAAAAGAAAAGAAAATCAGGCAAAGTGACAGCTCACCATAGTATCCAACAAGACGATGCAGGCCATGCTGAGAACACCCACAATGATATGCTGCACACACACACAAATAAAAAGTTGTTTTAAAATACACTGGAACAAATACAGAAAAGAAAAGACTAACAGAGTTGAAGCATTAATAATTCGCCCCTCTAGCCACACATCTGACACTTCCTAAGGTCAGGACACAGACGAGACTAACTGCACATCTGTTTTTCACAGAGCCATGGCAACAACAAAGTGCACCCCTGATGAGCCTCAGCTAAGGAGCAGAAGGCAAGATCTCCAGGAGATGCTGACAGAAGTGGGATTGTCTGTTGACTACTGGCTACCTAAACTTCAGGAAGACCTGGGTGTGACTTGTGCCCAGGCCTTACAATACTTAAAAGAAAAAGACCTCCAGAAGCTGAAGTCCCAGACACAACACACATGGGAGAAAAAGGCTCTGGAGAAGCTGCTTGACCTCTCACAGCCAAAGAGTGTTGCAGAGTTCCAGGAGACTCCAGGGGAGATGATACAGAACAGGCAGAGGCAGGCAGGACAGGCACTGCAGGAACTGAGGGTCTTGCAGTCAGAAGGGAAGAACAGACAGGAAGAAGCAGTGAGGAGGAAAGAAGCAGAGCTGAGACAAGCAATGGAGATCCCTGAAGAGTGCTGGCCAGGGCCTGAGGTGCCCCTAAAAGATGTCACTGAAACAATGGAGAGACATCTCAAGAACATGGAGCAGAAAATTTCCTACAGCGGAAACCTCTCCGATAGAGATCTGGTAAGATGGGCGTCTGGAGGGCTGGCATTGCAAGGAATTTATAAGACCAGCCACCAAAGAAGCCTGATTCAGAAAAAAGAACAGCTACTCAGTGTCCCTAAGGAGTTCTCACTTGTTGGTCCAGAGCACGGCACATGGATGGAAGCAAAGGAATTTTCCTCTTTTCAAGAACAAACCATGTTCACACAGACTATGGAGAAGCTGGGTTTCAGTTCAACCTTCTCAGCTAAAGGTGAAGGGTGGGGCCTTAGTCTAGAAGCTGGTGTGGGTCAAAGTAAACATACAGAATCTGGGGATGCCTACCAATCACATTCAGAGCAATCTTATTTCTGCTCAGCCAAGTTCAGCTACATCCCACTGGCCACTTGCCACTTTCACATCCATCAACTTCAACTCTCCAAGGCTGCTCTCCAGGAGCTAAAAAGTATTGAAGAACTCCTAAATCAAACTACACACCCAAATGGAGTCCCCTTACTGAGGCACAGGGCTGAAAACTTTTTTCACAGGTTTGGCTCTCATGCTAACCAAGGCCCACTGCACCTGGGGGGAATCTACTGTTGGAAGGCCATTTCAGAAGGTTTCAAAAGAGAGCAACTGGCTGATATAAAACAGCAGGCAGCAGAGTCCTTGAATATTTACATAAGGGGCAGCTATGGTGGCTTTGGAGTTAAAGCTAGTGCAAGTTTGAATATGTCAAACTTGCATTCAAAAACAGCATCTGACAGTACAAATCATCAAAACTTTCAAACAAAGG